AGAAACTTAGGTATTTAAGAAGATAGAATTTTTAAACATACTTAACTTGGATGGTTATTTTATAAAGAACAAAGTAAAAATAAATAACAAATAATAAGAGTAAGAATAAATAAATAATAATAATCGAGTTAACCAAATGTGTAACCTCTTTTTTTCTGTACACAACGAATACTATAGTGGTATTTAGATCCTTGAATTTTTATTAGTATCTTTTTACAAAAATGTTGTAAATCACTTGTATGTAGTAGTTATTTATGACGATGTAATACCAAAATTCTTATCCTAAAAAAGGGATCATAAAAATTCATTGTCGCAATCACGCTTGATATTTTCTTACGTTTTAAGATAGTCTTTTTCTTCATGCGATTTTCAACCGCGAACCATGCAAGTCGAAAGATTATTGAAAATTTAATTATAATGCTTCTTAAAGTAAACTTTCTTCTTCGTTCTTCTTGGATGAAGTTCCAGGTAATCAGGTTTCAACATAAAGTTTTGATGCCCATGCTTCATTTTAAACAGATTGCGTATTTATGAAACAAGTAATCTTCTTTATACTTCTTATCTATTTTAAATATTGCCCACAATTTTAAATTAAAAATTTGAACAACTGAATCTCTGCAGATATACAGAACGGTTTTAGGAACTGAGGTTACTGCTCTCTTTAAATAAGAACAGAAAGAAATAACAGAGGACAAATTAATATGCCGGAGTAAGGGTTCTTAAACTTATGTAGTCCGAGGACTCTCTCTTGAACAACATTTTTTTTGTGCACCCCATTCCAACCCCAGGCATTTTACGTCGTTCTTGAGACTTAATTTCTGGCGCAATAATCTCATAGACTTCGCTCCAATAAATATTCGAAAAAATGTATCGCTGCTTATTTTAATAAAAGGTCTTGAGCACTTATAAATACGAATAGTTGATGAATGTAAAGTTAACGTCAAAATTGTTTTGCGGACCCCTTGTAATGGCTATGCTGAGCCCCAAGAGTCCGCCGGCCACAGTTTAAGAACCTATGTACTACAGTACGTCGTAACATCCTATGACCTTATTTTTGATAAAGACCTTATATTTTTAAGATGATAAGGTCCTATATCTTGTAAAGATGATAAGAGATGATTGGATCGAATATTGTACTTTATTCTTTAATGCAACCCAATTGTTTCGTCAAACCAATCGATCCTTTTATATTCCTGGATATAAATGTACTAATCCAAGATTATCGAAATGTCGATACTTTACGAGACATTTGACATTTTGTGATAAATGCACTTTATTACAAGTATTTGAATGTTCCATTGCATTCTACACATTTTTCATTTGGTTTTTTCACATTTCTCATTACACGCTTTAGTTTATTTGGACATTCGAACAGTGTATTTTGATACTCTCCTTTAAATCGTCAACTGGTACAAAAGGGCTTGAATTCAATTTAAATTTTTGACAATACCAAATAAAGTTCAATGCATTTGTCATTTGTTAATGTATTTTCCAAACAAGTAAAACAAGTTATGAAAAGTGTAAACAACGCATTTGAAGATGTGTAGAGCGCAACGGTGGAATATTCGAATGTTATTGTAATAAAGTACATTTCCGACATAAAATATTATATATCTGGTGACGTATTGACATTTCGAAGAGTTTGAATTTGTATTTTATAATATAACGTAATATAACGTGTATAGCGTAATAATAAAACAGATTGATTTGACAAAGAAATTAAATCGCCCGAGAGAATAAAGTGTAATTATACTTGGGGGTGCATCGGTGCATCCATATAAAAAATAAGGTCACACACAGTTAGGACGGATTATACCATATGACGTTTCTTCTATCATTCTTTTTTACTTAAAAAAGAATAATAATCTCTTGGAGTTCTTAAAATCATTCTATATTATACTTGACAACTGATAGATAGTCAATATCAAAATGCAACATTTGTTGGGAGAACTTAAAATAAACACATTTGAAATGCCCCTAAGGAGAAGCTTTCAAATAATGAAGAAAAAGTTTTGAAACATTCTAATGATTATTGCGTGAAAATTTCGTTGAAATTACGCTAAGCGACACATAATTACATTTTAATGAATTTCGTGCTGATTTTGCATAATAATATTTTGGATATCTAGAAATACTCACATTAACAAAAATTTGAAACTTCTATATTTCCGAATTTCCAAATATTTAATTTCGACATTTTATATAGCTAAATTTCTACATTTCTAAACTACGGAATCACTAAATTTTAAAATCTGATAATTTTATGAAATCAAAATTTGCGAATTTCTTTGAAAAGATTTGAAAATTAAATACTTGAGAAGTTACAAATTCGAAATTTTGGAATCTCAAAAATTTCATTGTCATGTATTTTTAAACTTCAGACTTCACAAAACTCTAAATTCTAAATTTACAAATTCAAAAGTTTGATATTTTTGTGTTTTCAAAATCAGAAAATTATTTAAATCTTTAAAAGGTAAAGAATGCAAAATCAATAAGTTTGAAATATTTATACATACAAATTGTTAAGTTCTAAAATGTCAAATTCCGATATTTCTATCTTTAAATGCCTAAACTTTTATATTCTAAAATTCCGATATTTCAAACTTCTCATATTCCCAAATTCCTAAATTTCTAAAGAATCATAATTCTAAATTTCTAAATTAGAAAATGTTAAATTTCTGTGTACTGTATATACATATAATACATTAAATCATCTTTTCTATTTCTAAACACCCAAATCAACGAAACATTACGTTAAAAAGCTTAAACAATCGAAACCTTGAAAATGCGTTTATATTAAATTTTCTACTTCTAAAATATCCGAATACCTTCGTTTTTAAATTCGGCAACTCGAAAGTGGCACATTTCGATTTCTTTAAATCTACAAAAGTGATAATAGAAAAATTTGCAAATGAAACATTTCTAAATATGAAATTTTTATGGATTGTATAGCTACACACACCGTGCACGTTATGGTCCGTGAGGTTTTCAACGAGCACTCATTCTGTCCTTCAGTGTTTTAAACAACAACGAATCAATGATTGACTTTGAAACATGAAAAACTGTACGTTAATCCTAGTAGTTCGATCTGGTGTCATTAATTTCGCTTTCAATAAAATGGAAAGCTCGTTCGTATTTCCACCACGATATTCGACTTATTTTCAACGACCGATGGAAATTCGAACAGCACTTCGCCTTCAAAGACGAAATCGTTCGACTCTTGAAAGGGAAACGATGTTTGACGCGATAAAACGTACCGTTTCAACCGAAAAGAACGAACACGATATTATTTCATAATTGAATGCGTCTTCGTCGTTGCTTCAATTGATAGACACACCGTGGTTTCGCGATTTTCATTCTTCTTCCGCACTTTGTTCGCAAAGAGAAAAGTATTTGCGTCCGAGAATGAAAGAATTTTAAAAATTAATCTTCATAGGAAAAAATTAATTATAAACACTTCCGTGCTTTCGAGTCTTTTTTCTTCTCTTCTGTGCCTATCTACGATAGTATTTAAGAAATATTAATGCGAAGTAGAATTTTTCTTTTGACAGGAAATTACTGGATTCCTAAAAATTCATTAAATTAGTTTACCAGCATTTATATTTGTTGTTTATTGAAAATTTTTGCATATTTATTATTTATTAATTTTTGGAATTAAATGCCTATTAGTCATTCGCAGTAATCAGTGTCTTTAATAAATATATTTAAGAAAGCGATTGAAACACTAACTTGTGTATTTGTTTTGTACAAAGTGGTTAAATACTTGGAAATTAATGAAGCTGTTTAATTTATATTTAGATGTCTTTATTGATTCTAACTTCAAGTTTTTGATAAAGCAGATAAATAAAGTATTAAATAACTATAATTGAGTAAAGTAAAAAATAATAGTACATATCTGTAAAATAACTTAAAATAAAATTTTGCTTCAGAATATTTCAGTTTTGTAATCATGTCATTTACTGAAATTCAATTTTAATATTGTCAAACTATTTTGTATAACAATGAAGAATTATTTTCATCTTTTATGTACCACCTCATATAATTTTAAGTTTGTTTTGTGTCATTTTTAATAATAGATAAAAATTCATTTAGTAGTTGTTATTTGATTTATTTAATTATCACGGTTTAAGGAATTGTTTTTCTATTTTCTAATCCTCCTAAATTTTATATAAACAATTTCTTCTAAAATTTGTCAATTTTAATTTTTATTTACAAACTGGAATAAATAATAATAATTTTTTTTTGTAAAATCAGTAAATGTTTTAATGTTTTCATGTTTCAAAGAAATAAACCATTTAGCGCAGTGCGTTTAATTATCATCATTATCAGAACGATTCTAATTTATATGTTAAAGGAATTCTCAAAATAGCTTTAAATGTTTTTAAACTGCATCAATGTCACATATGATAAATATATATTTTCAATAAACACATATTTCATGCAAATTATTCTATTTTTTTTTATGTACAATCACTAATGTAAATATCTTTAAAAGAAACTGTTATTGAATCATTACAAGAAATTATTCATATGCATTTCAAAGAGAAGAGAAAAGTGAAAATAAAAAATATTTAATATTACAAATTACAAGCGAAGTCTACGTATCATCTGTATTTAGAAGAAAGTATCACGATATAATATCTTACGTTATGTCATTGATATCACGAAATTTCAAATTTGGCGCGTTAAAAAATTCTTAAGTGTCATTTTCCTCCGACTAAATCGTATCAGTTTAACATAAAAAAACATACATATTATAGTGTATTCCATATAAAATATTTTACTGTCCTACATATACATATCTTGTTTTTACAAAAGAATTTGATTTCGAACGAGTTTCATGAATTTAACCGTTATAATTCACGAATGGAGTGAATTGCACAAAAAAGAACATCCGTCATCGGACGATCACCGTTTGTATCGCTGATATAGGGCACAATTGTCCAGTGACAACCACCGAATGACAATGAAACTTGAATGAATAGAAATCGTTTACTTACCGAATGACAGAAGAAATCCATAGAGAAGAGATATGGCACAAAAGAGCCGAATCAGATTCGCACTTTTCTCGGCACACATGGCGCGTAACACACTGTTATCGGCCGTTTTCAAACACCCGTATCGTGCCGTATCGCACGGCCACTCGCGTGGCTCTGAGAGTTTCTCGTTAGATTTCGAGTTTGAATCTCGGTTCTTCTCTGTCTTTCGCTCTTCATCCCGCACGCAGCCTCCGAAAGTGGTCCAGCGCCTGCCCGCTGACAATTTCTCGAATCAATTGCTCTGAACAGATGGCACCACTCTGCAGACGCCATTTTCTTCGCACGTGACCAACTGCACCGACAGACAGTAATATTAATATATGGTTCTGACGATACAACCGAAAAAGGGGTGAACTTCCATGAAAAAATAAATTGAAAATACATCATAAAATAGATATTACATAATATAAAATATCTCAAAATATTACATTACATATTATAATTATAAAATAAAATTTGTTCATATACTGTCTTAGTTTTGGAAAAACCGAATTTGAATAGTTTGAAAAACTGAATTTGAGACATTTAAATAATTTGTTCGCGGTATAGAAAATGGTAGATATAAGAGTTTGAGTATGTTTTAGGAAAAATAATTTAATTACTTGTTATATGTATACGCGATTGGGGAAGTAGTCCCACGAGCGGACTGCACCACGTGGTCACGAAGGCCGCCGAGGACACCCGAACGGTGCCGAGCGGGAACCGCGCGAGAATTCGACTGTCTTTTGTTTCTACCCTTTTCTTCCCTCCCGATCATGAGTTAGCGTCATTCTCGATTTATCGCACGCGTTGTTAAGATCGATGTCAATAAAGTTATTCGTTAAGAAGTGCTCCCTGTTCATCTCCGTCCAAACACAATATTACTAATACCACTAAAGATTATCATCAGACATTCTTAGTGACATTATTAATGAACATACACTCAAATGCAAATCTGGTTTCCCTGGGGCAAATAACATAATATAGGAAGGGACAATAATATCTACACTTTGACATCCCTTACATCTAATTTATAGTAGACATTACAGACAGAAACTAATAAATAATAAAATCTTCAAAAGAACATGCTGATTGTTAAAACCAAACCGTTTTCTTGCATAATTTATCTTTCATAAAGATGACTAAAAGAACTGCATTAGAACCAAAGTTTTCTTAAAATTGAATTTCATGTCGAAGTTCACATTCATACTGTGAAAGTACTGCAATTGTTTAATAGTTTAATATGTAAGAAAGGTGTAGAAGTTAAGTTTATCCTGTAGCAATTCATTTCAAAATTTGAAAGTATTTTGGTAACTTCATTCTTAGAAATATTTTAAAATTGCGTGCGTCAGTGACTACCAATATAACATGACTTTTTACATTTGGTTTGACAGACTTTTCTGTAAACATATACCCTTCTATGTATAAGCATATACAGGGTGTTACCTGTAACGCTACTCACGATTTTTCTCCCATTTGCAGCCACCTTACGAACAAAAGTTTACAATAAAATTTGCAGGGTATGAAGTGCACAATAGATATTAATAAAGCAAATTTTGAAAACAGTTTGTTCTCTTGGCAAAGTCAAGGTCACCTTGGGTTTTTTAAATAGCAACATACATTTTTTTTTATTCATAGCTTTAGAGGACATCGAGACGAATTCAAAACATATATTACATGATATTTTTATTAACATATTACTCGATTTACAGAAGTGGAAATGTGAAGTAAAAGACTGGAATATTACGTGATGGAAGGTGGCATACATTTTGAACATGTAATTAAATAAAGTGTATTTTTCTTATATTCCAGTCGCGTGTTTACATTCAGTAATCTCTTTGGAACCAAATAATGGTTACCCTACCAAAGTCAAAAGCTAAGTACTTCACATTTTTCCACTTCTGTAAATCGAGTAATATGTTAATAAAAATATCATGTAATATATGTTTTGAATTCGTCTCGATGTCCTCTAAAGCTATGAATAAAAAAAAATGTATGTTGCTATTTAAAAAACCCAAGGCGACCTTGACTTTGCCAAGAGAACAAACTGTTTTCAAAATTTGCTTTACTAATATCTATTGTGCACTTCATACCCTGCAAATATTGTTGTAAACTTTTTTACGTAAGTTGGCTGCAAGTGGGAGAAAAATCGTGAGTAGCGTTACAGGTAACACCCTGTATGTCTACACATATATTCTTGAGGGGATTTGTCCTCCGAACTGATGTGAGAAGTAGAAATGAATAATATCTACAGCATTATCGGTTTTAACTGTTTCTTTTTTTACCAATACGATTAACTGATTTGTCTTCATTTTTCCACAATATGTTACAAAATACCAAATTGCTTATAAGACATGATCACCTATATGGTTGGTAACCTTCAATGGTGTCTCATCGCTTGTATGATTAGTCTGCCAATTCAAATCATTATAGTCGATATCAAAGCGATCTACTGTTACCCTTGAAATGTGATAAACTGCTTGCGGTATGAAGTATTTCATAATTTTGCATGTTCACATATGCATGTTCTGTAAATAAAAAGGGCATTTATAATATCATTTTCCGGCTTATATTCATAACTAAGAGATTATCAAGTAACTTCATGAATTATAGTGTTGTAAGTAAAAAAGTCAGTATTTATTGCGGTAAGATATTTTAAATTTAGTTCCTACCGCCTATCGCTAAATGGCTAAGCATTCTGAGATTTTTAAAATGCAATTTTTTAAGTTAGATTTTTTCGGACAACCGTTATGCACTGAATCATGGTAAATTTTGTAAATAAGCTCCGTTATTGCAAGAGAAGACATCTGTGAAAACGGCTTGTCGACTCGAAAGATACTTTTTACCGTTTCGATGTCAATTCCTACCTTACGGACGCAAGGCAGTATAATAAACGAACTGTTCCGAACACGTAATTGACACCTCTGAACCCACAAAATACACATTGCTAACAGCATTTCCATGTAGACAGTATATATATTAACAGTATTCAATATTGCCACCCCCATTAAAAACTACCCCAAACTAAATTTTCCTAAATAAATGCTTACTTTTATAAGTACGCGGATTCATTTTGTAACAAAACATAAATGTATTATAAACTAATTAATTTAATAAATTGAAAGTATCTTGAAATCCTTATTAGCACATGTTCTTTAAATTGTATGTTTCCGTGGTCTCTTTTTGAATCGTTTGGGAAACCGTACTTATCGACGATGCAGCAATAATTACCGACAATTACCGACGTACATGTTGTATTCTTTCGCAATTTGAAACAATAAAAAAGTTAAAAATTATAATTTAATGAATATTTCTTTAAAACATTATTATTTACATTAAAGAGAACTTACAATTTTCAACTATCTCTTAACATCATATTAAAATGAAATAATTAAATAAAAATTTACAATCAATCCACGCATAAAAATTAGTAGAAGTCATAAACTTTGTTAGTTATAACTATAATTTCATAAATAAATGATTGAAATGTTAAAAATTATAACAAAATAAATTTCAATGTATTAGCGATTTTGTACCTTATATATGCAGGAATGTCATAAATTACAAAAACAACAAGTTCTAATAAAAATTACGATAATTCAACAAACAAATCATTGAAAGATTAATAATTATAAGAAAGCAAATTGTAAGTTAAACGACTACATCATTCCAACGTATGATAGATTTAGTTCAAAATTTGAGCTGGCCAAAAGAATTTATTAACAGTCCTTTTATGTTTTCAAAAAGTGACTTGTTTGCCAATCTGATGGACAAACTGCTTAATTCTGATCGTACGAAAGCAACCAATCGTGGGTCAACCTCTGAAGTCTGTTGTCTCTAAGATGCCTTGACTGAAAGATGAGTGCAGTAGTATGAGTCAACGACTGGTGAGACGCATGCTCTATGGTTTCTCTGATTCCATCATGTCGTACAAAGAACGGTTCAAAACGACACGGGAACTGGTTGTATTTGTTGAATTTTCATTTCAATGAAATTAACGATTTCTCAATACATTTATTTTTGCTAATCAGGTTCGTCCATTTATCAATTACTTGTAAGGTACCAATCGATTTTGATCGGATCTTCGTATGTTAATAAAATAAAATCTACATATTTCTTCGCTATTGTTTCTCTGATATTATAATTTTTTACACATATAAAATATAGTGGATTATTTAGAATTGCATTTTCAATATTCATAAATCAAGTGTAATTAACATATTTTAAAGAGGTCCTTCCAAGTCGGTTTTCTTACATAATAAATACATTTAGTCTTTTAATAATTATTATGTTTTTGTGTTATTTTAAATATAATAACCTCCCATATTCCATTAGTGTTTTTATATTTTGAAGCGAGGATAATGACGACGAATATACCATAATAATATTTATACTGTAGAGATGCGAAGAACATTAGAAACCGTCACCGAACGGTAACCATTGGAAGAAGAGCAAAAACTTGTGTATTCGTCAGCTGTTTAGGACGCGTGCAGTAATCACTCTCCTTTGTCAACAGCTTCGACAATAAACATCGCGAATAGGTGATCATCCGCGGTACTGATTGCAAAAGAGAAAGAATGTGCGTGCGAGAGAGAAAGTACCATAAAGGGCGATAACCGCGAAATCTGTGTATCTGCGAATGTGTAGAAAATTTTTGTATGTAAATCGTGGCCTAGCAAGGGAATACCTATTGTAATACCAGCGAGAAAATTGTGAAACAGCAAGAACTGTAAAGAAGATCGGCGAATAAAAACCGAAAAATTAGGAAGGATAATTCACTTAACAAACCATATCCCTACAGTACAAATTGTCTCTTTGCGTACTTCATTTATTATATCAGGCTAAGGATTTTCTTTTACATCGTCCTTCAATCTTGTTACGAATCGGCATAACGAATTAAAACTACAAAGAAGTAGGATGACCCTTCAATTTCATGATAGTTTAATTATCGATTCACTTTTAATGTTTTTGTACTTTTTAAGTATTAATATGTACAAGAAAGTTTCGCTTATTAAGGTTAGTTATCACGAATATTTTTGGTTAATTAGTAAATTTACTTTGATATTAAAAATCTATCTAGAATGGAATTGTAGAAAATCAAACCG